GCCAAGTCTCTTCTCGTTTATTCAGAGGTCGCAGCTGCTCGTTCTTTCTGTGTGCACCCAGTACCCTACAAAAGCGGTGTACTTGTCATACCCATTGTCATGCTCATGTCCAGAACTCAAGAATGAGACAGAACACCATTTCAACCAGAAGAACTGCCTTGGATCAAAGCACGGATGGATTGGGACGGCCAATCCATCTCCGCACTACGTGAAGAATCGTTTGAATTTCCTCCCATACAACTGCATCCATACACTCTACAGGGCGATACGTTCTGCCCCACTGCACCACAAATAGATGGCTGTCTGCCGTCGCCACGATTTATCGTGTCGTCGTATGGACGAGCGTGTGCAAATTGCCAAAAAGTCGTCCGATGTCGAGGACATCTCCAACAGGGAATAACCTTGACGTTCTCAAGTACGCCAGACCGCCCGTCTTTCGTGAGTATTTCCTTCCGCCACCATGTCGTCGCTGCCGTGATTTTGGAAGCGCCAAAAATCGATTACGGAACTTACTTCATATAGCCCCCTTCTCGCAATTCTGGCAGCGTACCGCCCAGCACCAAGTTTATCACCCGAGGCGATGGTAGCCCAGTTGAGTTTCCTTTCCTCCACGACCTCCAGGCCATTTGCTGCGGCATGGTCCACGCATGCTGTGCTTCATACAGTCATTCGCACGACCTGTGCTGCACACAACGTCGATCCTTTTGTCTTGTTTCCAACCGAATGGGTACATGTGAAGAGTGCCACAGCAACGGAGCCGATGGCGCGTTTTGGTCGACAGCTTCCAGTGGTGCGAAATCCTCCTATTGTCTATTATCGATTGCATCGAATGTGCATATTTACTGCGTCGATGCTGGGTGCTTGACGTATTCACAGGTGTTAGCTGTACCAGTGGTGCATGCAATGGTAGTTGCCAAGGCGGCGTTGGACTTGCTCGATCGAGGTGCAGTCGGCAATCGAGACACTGCGTGGCTTGCTCAAATACTCTCCAAGGTTGCGACGGCTGTGGGGGAATCCGGCGTCAGTGTCGTTGGCGCAATTGCTGAGCCAACTAGTCGCGGATGGCCACGTAGTTTGCGTTGGAAATGTCCCTCGAAGTCGTTCGACATGTACATACCCGCACACGGCAACTGAGCGGCGCGACGCCGTGGTTTGAGTACAAGTTCATGGCACACAGTCGAGACGTACGTGTGGTATCGTTTTATCGTCCTTCGCTGTGTATCATCACACCGCGTGACAATCCAAGCGCGACATCGTAATGAAGCCTTGAAATGTGAAAACTTTCGCTGTGCCCCACGAAATACGCCGCCACGTCGAATAAATACCATGCGTCCCGAGCGCCACCAGTCGCTCATTCGTACAAAGGCAGCTGGGTCACGACATCGACATCCACGTTGTATAATGACTTGTCCTTGGTCACTCGGTCGCAAGGGCCGACCTTGGGCTATTGCGGCACTCTAGGCCAGGGCATCCCAAAACCTTTACCCATGAAACCCTCTCAACTCGCACATCAATTCCACCTCGACAATTGCTGGTAATGCCATGTGACCCACAACGGTTTTTGCCTCTTTGTAAAATTCCATCCGAGCTGTCCTTGTCGCCGACGTTGCCGTTCGAGTTGGTCCTAGTTGGCGTCTCCGCGGGTGTGCCGCGTTCCGAACGGAGATAGTTCGATATCGAACCTCCACGACCTAGGCAAAGACATTGCAACCTGCATAGCTCTCGACCACGTTCAGATCGTTTGCCGACCCTCAACCACAATGCAACGACAGCCTACCGCCTCTCCATGACCATGCATCTCAAGGAATACTCGTCGACAAGGACGACTTGCATGTGCTCCCACGAGGACGTGATGGACACGTCCGCAACACAAAGGTGGCTAGGAGCCCGCACCCGTCCAGGAAGACGCTGGCGACGTTCGAGTTGCATTCTTGCCTACGAAATGCTCAGGTACATAGCATCAAATACTAATAAGCCAACGTTGAGATTGGTTTTTTCCCCCTTGACAACACTCAACTGAAATACCCCAACAGGTCGCAGTGACAGAATTCAAAGTGGAAATGCGTTCCTGCGTTGGTTGTGTCCACGAAATGAACTGTGGTGGTGATGCAACGAGTGAAAATCCTACCCATCGCAACTCCAAGGACGCCACGTACCCCAAATAGATTTCGCACGGATGGTCTCGATGTGCACATGAATCCTGACGTCGCATTTCTACTGGGAAGGACCCGTCCGAGTTTACGTGCTTACGATTGCAACTCTACCCACGCCATGCAGTTGATAGCTCGTCGTCGCTCAAGTGGAATTTAGACAGCACCAGTCCGGCACAAATTTGAAACCAATTCTTGCACACCTACCTAGTTTTGGACTTGGAGCATTTGTGGTGTGCCATCCATCACGGTTTCAACATATCTTCCTCGCCTTCGTCTTTCAGCTTGGCTTGTCCTACAGCACCAACATTGAATCGGACTAGATGGATAGCATGGACACAATTCCCGCTGGCGCAATCGGTTTCCGCACAGAAGACGTATCTCCTCCATGCACAGGGAGGGACTCGATGCGTCCATCCATCGCTGCATCTCGTATCGCTGGGGTCGCGACTTGTCGACAAATCCTGACGTGATTGCATGGATGGTCCGACGCCCTGCTGGACGGGGGGCCATGCGACTGCAAAATATCTGCGATTTCAATGGATTGTGAAACATACTGCGATAGCAGGTAGCCACGAGCAGTACACAACCGTGTGTGTGGTGGCAAATCACTAACAAATGCAAGCCCAATGAGCTTTCAGGCGGGGGGATACGACCTACGTGGATTGGGGTCGTGCGAGCCAGGAACCATCGACAAACGAGAGCACTGTAGCGAAGTTGCGTCAAGATCATCACGAACGTGTGGAAGAACCAAGGCAACGAACGAAAAAAGTCGAGTGGTATTCACTGGCGGCATCTGCTGTCTTCACAACGCCTTAACGAGTCTTTTTATTTGCATGGGGCGTATCGAAAGCACACATTTGCACTCGCTACTTCTTTGTCCGTGTTATAGCTGGCATATCGCTCGGTAGCGGAGAGCGTTGCAAAGTCGACAAGGGCGTCGTCGGAGGCGCTGGACAGGGCCGCTGTTCCGACTGCCAACGACACAGTCAGCGCCGACTGGTCTGGCGCGAGCTGCAGCATGACTGTGACACGGCTGATGTTTGTTTGTTGAGCCCATGGCCAGCTGAACACGTCGACGCAAACGATATCTTCACCCAGCTTTCGACCAATGTAGTCGCCGTGGAGCAAGCCGGAGAGCTGGGTCATGCTGCTTTCGCCGTTCGGGAACACTCGAAACACCCTCGGCGTCGAGTCCAGGATGAATTCAGACCACATCGTGTTATACGCCATCAAGTCGGACTTGATCTGCACCGCGTTCGGTCATGCCGATGTTTTTTGGCTCGAAAACGACGTAGGTACCTGCAAGACGTGGTCGTCGACCAGCCGCACCTGAAACGAATACCCCATCGTGAGGCATCGCAGGAATGTGGCCAACGAAAAATCCAACTCGGGGGACGTGGCCGCCCCGTACACGACCGTTACTGTGGTATGGTACATCCATCGCCCGTCAAATTTGGACGAAGCTGCCACGACGGCGCATGGGATGGAAGCTGCGTTGCCAGCCTACGTCGGTGGTCAAGACGAGTCGACTGGGGAAGGCGGGGCGTTCGTCACCACCATGTAGACTTCTCGAAGCTGAGCGACAAAGTAGTCGAACCCGGGCGAATTTTGGTCGGAGGCGGCCGCGTCGTTCAGTCCCTTGATGTGTCGCTCGAGCGAGTGCAGCTCGCGCACGTGGGTCGCTGTTTGCAAAATCGTTTGAGTAAGTTGGGCCATGGTCATGCCGACGGGCGCGAGCCGCGTCGATAAAACGTGATGCGTGCGCTGGATCCACTCGAGAAATGCTTGATGGAGAGTGTCTCGGTCCAACAGGTGGATCGCATTGTCGGAAAAGAACGAGGCGTGCTGTTGCAACGACTCGAACGTGAGTGTTGACAGCGCCTGAAATGTGTCAGACTGTTATCGACGACCAAGACCTCGACGCGGCGAGGACGTACCAGGTCAAAGCAAAACGAGATGAGAGACGCGAGGTTTGAGGTAATCGTCGACTCGGCCGCGACCGGTCGAATCGTTGTTGTCGGCACACTCAACGCTCGTGTGCGGTCGGGAGGCAATCCCAGCGCCGCTGCCATCGGCTGCAGCAGCCCGTCCACCAGGCGATCGTTCAGGGTCGGCAATTGCGCCGAGAAGAAATGGATGGACGGGACCGAGACAAACGCGATGAAGACACTCAGGTGGCGCTCCATCGCGGTCGGCTCGTCCAACGGCCCGTCCGCCCTTGCCGAACCAGACACATCTACCAAACGCTTCAGATCACGTCGTCCCTGATACCGGTCGACTTTTTCGCGTACGCATGGACGTATGGATGACATGCTGCTGCCGCTTATTGTTGAACTCGCCTTCGCAGGCACAGTCGGACGAGGGAGGCGGCGTCCGGTCATGCTGCGGGCGATGCTTCTGGCACACGTAGCACGCGCGCCGATACGACATGACGATGAACGGCGGGGATGCCGTCGACTGGACGACGCGGAACTTGGTGGTATCACCACCAGCGTACTCGACGACATAGCCCTGCCAACCACACGCAAGAGAACTCAGTGACCACGGGAAAGCGACCTGCCGTACCACGAGATGATGCAAACAAGCTCGGTGCACCTGGTTCGAGGACCCGACCCACCCGTAGTGCCATCCCAAACTATTGTTGTGGTTCAGCTGGAACACCATGACGTGTGTACTCTATACGTCGAGATGCAGCACCCGTTGGAACGACCGCATCAAACACGGTTCGGTGTGTGTGTGTGAAGCGCGGACAGTACCTCGTTGTGGTACGAAATCTGGCTCGGCATCCAGTCCCCTTTAGGGTTTTGGATCGACCGGCAGCTGCCCAGGATGAGCTGAGCATCAAACACATCCCCGGCCTCAAACACCCTCGTGTGGGCCTCCTGGAACCGCGCGAACGCCAACAAGTTCGTTTGCAGCAGCGTATTGACTCCGACCAGCTTCAGATCAATCGATGTCGAGCAAAACGTGCCGTACGAATGGGTCGGACAACAATGCGGAAAGCACCTATGCAGCACACACACACACACACACACATCACCTTGCCCGTTGGCTTGGCACGGACTGTGCGATGGAGTACCGAATAAGCTACAAAGAGAGAGAGAGAGGCGCGGCATGAGTCTCACGCGTCGTCGTCGTGGGCAGGACGGACGGTGAATCGTTTACCTTGAGGCTGCCGGATCGATGCGTTCTACAACCCAACGCCATGTCAAAATGCCGCGAGTCCGTTTCGAGATCGGCATGTACCTGAGGTACTTGTGGCTGAAGAGGGCGTTGTGGTCGTGCGTCGTGCAGTTGGTCTTGGTGAACGCGAGCATGACCATTGTGCAGCGAGGAAGTCGCCACCACCACGGGGACGTTGGCGATATATGCCGAAATGGCCAACACGCCAATCAAACCCCATCACGTCGAAAAAAAATCAACCCACGAAACGCGACAGCCCCATCCCCCCCCACCACCCACGCACACCTACTTTGCCCTTGTCACCAGTCACGTCATGCGTCCCACGCGGTGAGTTTCTGACGTTGGCGACGAGCTAATTCAGATTAGGCGACGATGGGGCCGATGGATTTGTGGTCGGCAAATGCTTGACTGGGAGCCGCCGAACTTGCCGCGTGTTGACGTTCGGGAAAGATTGGAAACGATTCGTGCCAACACCATGTTGGAACTGTCGTGTTGGGCTGCTGCACGAATCGTCCTAGCACGAGCGGGGTTGCCCCGGGACGAGTCGGCCATCGTGGAACCCTTGCGTGGGGAATGCACTCGCCGTCGAAATAGCTGCCGAGTCGACACAGCTCGGCTGCATCGAGGTGAGATTCCAGTTGATACGTCAGCGTTACACGGTCGACCATCCAGTAAATCTTTGGAATGGAGTAGGAAGGACTAGAACGGTGGAACTTGACTGGCCATTTTCGCCTGGCAGTGGCATTGCATTCTGGTTCAAATGAAGCTTCCATGTGCATGGCCCGATCGTGTTTTCTCTGGGTGGGGGGCTCGTGAGATTTGAACGAACGTCAAGATCGAGCCATGCCACGACCGGATCATAGCTGTGTCGGGCGGCATGTCGTCGTCCTCAGGTCTCCAACCAGCCTACCAATGTATCGATCGGATAGAGGTTTGCGACAGCGGGCTTTTTGTCGTTGCGCTCGACATGGTGCGGCGTCTCGAGGAAAGAGTGCTGCCGGGCGCCGTCGACGTCAAAACGAGGACAGTCCGCCGAACACCGCATTGTGTCCGTCCGAGAAATCACACACGTTGGACTCTCTCCTGTCGAGTGATCTCGTCGTACATGCTAGGCACGGCGACATGGTACGGGAGATCTTTTGTGACGGCGCCGCATCGTCTTTCGATGCGGTTGGGTGGCGCCGCTGCAAATTTCGTCGGACGATACACGTATGTTTGAAAACGTACAAAAATCCACGACGCTCGTGGAAACCATCCCCCCTGGAAAAGCGCCACGCGCTGGTCGAAAAACTCCACGTCGACAACTCCATGTCACGTGTCCATGATACCTGATTTCGCTTGAAAAATGTCCGATAAAGTATGCAGTATGCACACAAGTCTGCCTGGGCAACGTCATGGAGCGAACACAAGCTGCAGCACGTGCCCCGCGAGGTTCTATTTGAATGTGGCGTCCATTTGCAAATGTGCAGCAGTTGATTGAACGCACGACGGCAGCGTCGACATCGTCCACAACGAAAGGATCCACGCATGACGTTGACCTCTCCATCGCGCACATCGCATCATGCGACTTGAGGTACCGACGACGGCATTTTCACCAAATGAGCATCGACGTTGTTGTCATCGCGGTTCAGATTTTTTTGCATTGTCGGATCGAATGGTGGATGCATGCTTCCACTTGCCCAAGTTGGCATGTTGCAATGTGGTTGCGTTGAAAGCAGCCAGTGCGATTTTTTCGTGCGAGCGGTCGGTTGGTCATGAACCCATCATTTCGCCAAGGGCTAGGACGCTTGCGCACTGGCTGCATTTGGACATGAGAAAAAAATGGGCCTTCGTGTTCCCGGTCAGTAGAAGATCGCCGCATTGCCGCATCGATTGTGTTGGGATTTCACTGCACTGGCCGACAAATTCGAGCAAAATTTCCCAAAGGACAAACTGCATTTCGTATTCATTGCGCGAGCCGACTAGCCAAGATCGAGTGGATGGCTACTACAACCCTCGAGTTTGAACGAGATGGTCAACTTGAAAGCTCATGTATTCGGCGGAGTGCCACGTTATCCAAGCTCCAACTCACCCGCGTCGCCAGTCGTCGGCATCCACAAGATATCGATGCGAACGAGGAAAAATTATTACGAGGGAAACAACGTCTACAAGGTCGAGAATGCGAGTTCAACGAGGTAGGCTCGGCCATCCATCTTTGCGCTCGATCCACACTGATTAAATGTACATACTAGAGAGCTTGGGGGTGCATGGCACGGTTTGTGAAAGAATACTGGCGAGTCGTTGCAAGAGCACGTAGTGGCGCGAGCGTCATGATGGATATCGCGGATTTCGTGCAGGGGCATGCTTCTTGCGTGATGCCCACCCCCATGACGAATACGCGACGACTCGTGGTGCGGGCGTTGCAACGGAGAAAGACCACAGGCCACAGGAAACCACCCGTACACATGCGATCTCCATCGCACCAAAATTAACTTCCCCACTTGTGTGGCCAAGGGCTTGAAATCTCAAAAATTAAACGTAGGATGCTGCTGGCCACCACGTGCCCAACGATGGGCTTCAGAATATGCGGTAAACTCACACGGCGACGCGTGACATTAATAGGGCGATGGAGCGGTCGCGTTTGATGTTGAGTTCATTTCGCCTGAATGGATGCAAAATTCGCGGAGCCGACGACGGTGCTGTTTGTTCTGTCGATGTTTTTTTCAACCCGCGAGACCTGTTTGGATTTCCCAACAAATTTCGTTGCCACCGCTGCCTCAGGCTGCACCAACTGAAGTGCTTTTCGGCTGTGTGGTCCGAAGCGTGCCAAGGCATCGCGGTTGATGGCCCCGTCAACGTGGTTTCCAAACACGAGGGGTACGGTTGCGTTTGTGAGGGCGTCAGGTCCTTCGTGCCATCCTCGGTGGATTTGTCGCTTGGACAAAAATTTTCAATGCATCCCACGTGGAACTTTCGATCGCCTGATTGAGTTGGCTACAGTTGACGTCGACGGAATGCTTTCGACGGCTGCTGGGGCACATCACGGATTCAAAACAACGATGCATCTATCGTCGTGTCGGGGCAAGGGCAGCAGTTGTGGGGCGGAGAGCCACTCGACAAGCGATGCGTGGTCCAGACTAGCTGTTTCGCGATAGACCTTTCGGGCGTGCTAATTTCATGTTTGAACGAAGGATCAGGACTGCTATGAAGGCCATCTTGTTTACACCTGTGAACTTGGTGCCCAGCGGACAAGTAGCAACGGCGATTCCACAGACCGACGAGGCGTCAAGGAGAGGGCAACGACGCCGTTTTGTCGCATCGAGGGGGAATGCCGTCATGGAGGTCCATGAGTCCCCGTCGTAACGAGACGTCACTGGACCAAAGAAATGTCACGCCAGGCATACATCTCACCATTGTGACCTATGGTTCCCCTCGCGGAAATCGGACAACAGATGACGAAGTTGAAACGAATCGGAACACTGGGCGAGTTGTCGGGGAATGGCGAGTGCGACGACGTGGGCGGAAGGCTGTCTTGGCTGCCTTTCTCGCAGTGCCTGTGGGTATACCTCACAAACAAGAAAGTGATGTCGCCGGCCTCGTGCGTTTGAGGCCACAACTGGTGGCTCGCACCATGTCAGGGAGTGTGGACGTCAGCGCTCCACCCATCCATGGACGGCTATAAGAAGGAAGGGGGTGTATGCTTGCAAGTGAACCTGTTCGTCCATCGGCGAGCCCTGGAACTGGGGGACTTGCAGCGACAGCTCGTCGACGTCCATGAGTGATTCGCCCTCCATTGCCAGAACTTGAGCAAACGAAAGTTTACCGCAGCTTCGGTGACTCTGCGGTGGACAGGATTGCCAAGAAAACAATGACCGAAGGGGGGCGAACTGGACGGCTCGCACAAGGAGAAGTGGATCGAGATGTTGAACCGAAGCAGATCGACGACAATCGATACGAGAGTGGAAGTCTGGTCGCCCCCTCCTGCAAAGTCTCCCATATTTTCACGGTCATGTGGATGGGGTTTCGTGAACACTGTCGAGGGTTCCCTGCCTTTCACCCACTCGGCTTTGAAGCCAGATTCGACCAAGACGACCATTCCAGTTGCACAAGTACATTTAGTGATGCGGCCAACACCGACGACGCGTTCGACTGCCCAAGATCGTGCACAGCATTGCACAAGGGGGCCGACTATATCGGTGCACCCTAGTTATGTCACCGAGAGGGTCAAGCACAGACGAGGCACCGACCCGACCAATCTACTCTTGCAGTGCTGCATCGCTGCGACCATGGGGTGTGAGGTGTTGACGACGTTTTGAGCAGTAATTCCCAAGGCAAGCATTCGTCGGAAGCTCATCCTGGAACAGTCCATTCATTCACTCAACGCCATGAAAAATCGCAGGTTGCTCCTAACTAGCTCGAGCCAGCGGCACGAGTCCAACAAAGTCGTCCGTACGACAACGCTGCCATCAAGCTCGAGCCACCCTTTGCATTTTCTATTGCAGAACGCGATCACGCCGTCTTGTGGATGCAGCGTTCAGCATATAGCAAAGGCCCAAACACGCATCAACCAAGCGTGGAAGCAATGAACGAGTCGAATGTGGCGCTCGCCCCACGCGGTGATTTCGCGTGAATCCGACACCGAGTTGTCGTTCAGTGCCCTGGCACCCAGCGATCCTTGCCAGTGCAGAACTTGCTCCCCTAGCCAACGCCACCCCCATGGCTCGCGACACTCAATGCACTTGTTCCCCCCTCTCTGATTGTGATGAAGTTGTCGCAACGAAACCAAACATATTTACATTTTCAATCGCCATGCAGAACCCACTTGGATCTTGTCGATATGAACTGAATTTTTGGCCGCCAGCACCACGCGACCGCCGTCGAGTGTGCCGCCTCGCTTCTGCGCCCAACCGTGTTTTGAAGTCGGCCTCATGAACCAGCGGGGGCTCCACAAGTCGTCCATCCGTAGCTCGCACAAACTGCCGCGACGAACCGCTCAAAAACGATGGAGGCCGTCCATGATCCAAAGCACTTCTTGGCCATACGTGGCCCTCTGTTTGTCCGCTTCCCTCTTACAGGAACAACGTCGTGTGCCTCGCGAATCGTTCAAATTCGCGCCAGCCATAGTATTTCGTGGATTTTTGGAAAATCGGGAGCCGGTCAGATACAACAACATGGTCAGGGAAACCACCGACCAGTGGACGGTTTGAAAAAACGAATTGAGCCGAGTGAGGAGGACGTTGGACTGTGTGAGGCCGTGCAATCGGTCCGCAAACCTTTTCAACAATGAAATGCGCACTCGACTACATACTACTTGAACACGTCGACGTTGAAGAGAATTGTCGAGTAGGCAGTGTCGCGGTTGCTTTGTAGATTTTGTTGCTGGGGGGGGTGGATTTCCCTGGTCACGCCACTGCTCTACACACTCACGAGCACGAAAGTGTGGCATCGGGGCATGCAGACGGGGTAGCATGGCATGTCGTTTGCGCAGCAATTCCATGTGTAGAGTGCCTGACGTGGTTCGTGGAGGTGTGCCGATTCACTGTTGCATCGACAGGACGACGCGCTTGGACCTGGTGCCTTTCGAATTCCAACTTGTCCGGCGGAGGCGTGGTGAAAATTCGTGCTTAAAAACTTTTACAGGGGCGTTGGCTTTCACCCCGGTCTTCTTGATGCAGTTGTTCGTACCCCGCGGGATCACTTTGTGCTGTTTGTTGGTCCAGGCAACGCGAGCAGGCGATACCACTCGCATGCGCAGCGCCGTGCAGAAAACGCGGATGCGAATTTTGCCCACTGTGGGCAATTCTGCTTCAAATCGACACCTTGCTTTGACATCATACAATGGCCCCACGGATATGAAATGGAACGTCCCAGCGCCGCTTGAGAGCGGCTGGAAAGCCAAGCACGGCAGCAGCAAACGATCGCGGTGGCAAAAAACCCCGCAGAGGACGACACTAGTGCGCGACGTCGGGTTGCATGTTGCCTGTTCGAATGTCGTCGTCCTTTGGGTTGGCCAGACGCGACTTTGACACCACCTGCCCAGACGCTCGTCGCGATGGGTTCAGCGATATTATGGCAGCCTCGACGGACATCGATCGGGATGCAGCTCATTCCTTTCGCGCATGGCTCATGCACACCAGCTTGGGTCCGCTGCGAAACGGACCCGCGACCTTTCTCGACGCTCGTGTATGCAGTTGACGAATCTGCCCTGTCCCGATGGACACGGCGATGTGGAAGGCTGTCTGGGTTCGCTTGCACATCCCACTCCGAGCGAACCTCGCCGGAGAGGAGGACGGGTGAACTCAACAAACACGTGCCTGTCCAAAGGTGCGTATGGTATCGTCGAGCGAGATCGCCGCGCGACGTCGAACAATAAGCCCCGCGTGCATCACGGACACTTCAACTTCTCGCATGACAGCGTCCCGGCGCCCTGCTACCTGGTGTAGCTGGGCGCCATGCTGACGAGCCACGCACGACCTGGGCAGTCTGCGGTGGTCGGTGCAGCTATACACGTTGGAATCGTACTTCTTCTCGTCGCATGGCCAACGTCGTCGGGCTCATGCACAATGGCACCTCCATGTGGCGCGGAAACGTCGGGCAGCGGCATAACCATCTTCCCTCAGAGGTAGTACTACTTGGGAGTGAGCAACTTCGACGGTATGGCGTTCGTTCGACCGTCTCCGTGCTGGATTGGATGCCGCCGCTGAGGTTTTCAACCATGTCATGTGCGCGACAGGGCTCGATTTCGTGCATCTCGTGACACAACCAAGAGGCTGTGGAGCGAAGAGATCGTCGCCGCCCCTGCCCCCAGCTCGTTGGTATCATGCGCCTGAATCTTGTGACATCGGCTCAATTGCTCGTGTGATGGCACACCGCAGCCTGGCCGGCATGGAAACATGCGAGCCAAATCTTTCACGCGGGAAGGACGAGTGATCGCCCAAACGCCCGACTCGACGCTCTCTTCGTTTGTCGAAACAGGACGCGTTTATTCAACGCCACCAGGCTGGAAAGATTGGGAGGTGGGAAGCACGCGGCGGCGACGAACCGTCCCAATTCCCCCGCCGCCGACGGGATGCCCATGTGGACGCTGTCGAAATCTCTATCGTGGTCCTATTCCTCCACTGGACCACCATCGCTCTGCGGGGGCTTCCAACCACTTGCGATAGAGTATTCCTACCTTCCTTGCATGTGTGAATCGTTTGGACAGAGGCCACATGCACGAACGTCGAACGAAATCCATCACACGTCCAGCGGCCGAAATATACCCCCCATTCGATCATACTATCCCGTGCTTTGACAAGGGAAGGACCAAGTCGATCCATCCATATATCGCACGACGTCATGCCGTCGGATTCATTCAGTTGTTCACGTTTGTGTGAATCCATCACGGCTGCGGCATTTCCTACACTCCATACCTCCGCGCTTTCCTGTTGGCGCATGGCAAGTCCGTGGGTCGATGCCTAACAGGTGTCGAGAGCATGTCGGACGAGTGGCGCGGAGGCAGTCCTGTTGGCACGGGGATGCCGTTGGACGGTCGAGATGCTCGAAGCGAGGCGACTTGCGTCCGCCGCCTACCTCGACGGTTCCAAATATGACCAGCGCGCCGATCCAGAGAGAATACATATTCCCATTGACGGCGCTGCCCACTTCCCGCAAAGCGCACGGCCGAATTCGACTGCCACAGCAGTAAACCTGTCGACGACATTTGCAGCGAATACGTCCACGCAAGCGTTCCGACTTTGACCAACATGCGAATCGCATCACACTCTGCGGCCGCCGCGCCGACGAGCGACCAGACCACATAGGGGGCACATCTGAAACATGGGTAGATTTTTTGAATGCAACGATGTAGAAGCGACACACAACTTGGAGCCATGCCTACCTCCCGTTGAATGGCCTTCCCTGGAGACACAAACAGCTTGTATTCCCTGGCATGGCTATCTTTCGTGCGTTGTCTTGGAAAGGCATTCGTGGCTGCCATCACACGTCGAAACGAACCGGCGTTGGAGTGGACGGCGCGAACGTGCCTCTGGCCATCCTCGTGTGTTCTTGACACGAACGATGACGCACGGACGCTTGATCGACAATCAAACTTTCGTCGCGGATGATTCGGATGCCCGTGGTGACGATAACATGACAGAGTCGGAAACGACGATCTGTTGAACGTCATGCATGCATTGGATCGCGTCTGAAGAGCCACTTGCGCGTCGCCGCCCGAGATAACGCATTCGACAACACGACATTTCCCGACCGGTCCCCAGGACGGGAAGTTGCTGACGCCGGCCGTCGTGGCCACGTTTCACATCGTGGATGATTGTTGATCTGAATTATTTCGCCTTTGTTACCGGGAGGTATGTCCAACTCGTGCGCGCGGCACAAGTCCCGAGTGTTGCCCGTGCTGCGGTATGTGTGTCGGATCGACGCAAGTCCAGGTCAAAGTGCCGAGAGATGTCGAAGGACAGCACGGGCGGCAAGTTTCTTGACATCCAGACGCCAAACGTCGTCGATGCGGGCTCTCTTCCAGTCAATCGCCTTAAAACCAGAAACGTGGACATGTCGGCCGGTCATGTCGATGCAAGCACCTTCGTTTCGACGAGTTCCGGCCGTTGACTGCATTCGCGAGTTCCGCCGTCGGTCGTGGCCATTTGCGCGTTCTTACGGACATTGCGAATTCCGTCGTGTGGCACAGTCTGAACACACCGGTGCAAGCTTTAGGACGAGCCCTCGATGTTGCGGGCGGCGGGGTGTCTCGTCACGCCAGCATTCCACACACCCTTGCCAGCGTCGAGAACAAGATCGCTACAACACACATCTCACCATGGCCAAGGGATGCCCCGTGGAATCGCCGCTTGAATGGAGCATATCTCCGAGCGGTTTCAACGTATCAGGTTCTGGAGAAGTGTATGCGGCTCCACCTCTGTCTTATAATATACTGTACGAATCCATGTACAGTGATCTCATAACATTTGCACATTTTTTCAAATATAAACTTTTCCAGGTTAGCAACTACAAGAAGACCGATGCTGCCTTGTCCAAACGCCCCCAAGACCTTCCTACCAAGTTATTTTTCACGGGGTATAAATTTATACCAGGGTGCAAACGTTGAAAGATCACTGTATGAGAATATCTCTCGAAATGGACTCGAATTTCCATGGAATGGACTCTGAGAAGCGTGGTCGAAAACGACGCGGCCGTCGAGCGGTGAAATCCGCCGTCGGGGTGTCGGAGGCAGTAGGACGTCTTTACCAAACTGGCAGCACTGGCTTGAAGCACGTGGCGCCGACCAAGTTTTTCCCAAGGTCGGACAACGCATGACAGCGATATGGTATGCGATCGCCATGTTCCGGAATCGTCGTGGATTCGTTCAACTTGCCGACGGGCGGGTGAAATCTCTTCCTCCACCATGAAAAGACACGGACAATCCACCACACGGCGGTGCACCTCTGGCGTTCGCGCACCCGGTCCACTGACAGCGACGGCAAAGGCACAAGCTGTGCCACGATCCATATGGGCGTCCACGAGCCAACTGCACCTTTCCTCCGTACACAAGTAAACATCCGACGTCGCGAAGTCGGTTTCGGGTGCGCGGCGCTCGGGGCAATCTTTTGGTGGGTGTGCACTTGGGTGTTGTGGGTGCAGCGGACCTGTCTACCGTTGCTTTGCATTTCGCCGCTCGGAACGTTCCGAGGCACGTTCCGACTTTGCCGTGTGGAAGCGGGATCTGAACATCTCACCGTCGTCGACTGTGACGTTATTCGACACCACGTGGGTGACACACATGACGGAATCGACGCTAACGTCACTTGACGCGACTGTATCCAAATTGAAAGCTCGCGACCGGCGCTTCCTTGTCCATGGCATACGTGGCATATCGCTGCAGGGCGTTCATCGAAGCGTAGTCGACTCCTCGAGCTCCCTCGGCCTGGCCCCACGACACGGTCGCCATGAGCCCGGATTTGGTTGGGGACAGCACGACACTGACACGGGACACCTTGGTCACGGAGTCGGCGCTTGGCCAGCTCAAAAAGTCGAGCGATACCATGCCCGTCGACGGCGAGTGCTGGCCAATGTAGTCGCCGTGGGAAAGGCCAGCGAGGCTTGTCATGCTGCTCTCGCCATTCGGAAACACCCGAAAGACCCGGGGCGTGGCGTCCAGGATAAACTCGGACGGGATCGTGGCAAACGGTCGCAAACTCGACGTGATCTAGACCACGTCGTGGTTTACGTGATACCAATCAAATGCACGGCTTACTTGGAGGCTGGTCGACGTGTGGTGAAGCGTGAAGGCGTAGCCCATCGTGATCCACCTCAAAAGGGTCGGCACGGAGATGTCCATGTCTGGCGTCGAGTTCGCATACACCAGCGACACGGTCTTGTCAAAGAGAAACTGGCCGTTGTATATGGATGTCGCCGCGCCAGCCACGTCAGGCATCGGTCCCGCTTCTTGCGCCTGCGCCGAGCCAAGTCAACCTCGATCCGTCATCAAACTGCAGATTTGATACAACACACCATAAACACTTCGCGCAGCTGTGCGACGAAGTAGTCGAACGCATTGTTTGTCGTATGCGAGTCGTCCAGTGGGTGGGTTTGCTGGTTTTGAACCGATCTGTGGAGTGCGTGGAGCTCAGGGATGTGGGTCATGGCATCCTGGACGTGATTGACCAGCTGCGAGATCGTGAGGTTGAGGGGAAGGAGTCGTGTCGTTAGTTGAGCATGGATGCTGCCCAGCCATGTTTGGTATGCTTGATGGAGGGCGTCGCGTTGGAGGAGGTGGGGGGTGGCGGCAGCGAAGGCAGCGCAAGACTGCCGAATCGATTCAAACGTAAAGAGGGACAGGAGCAGGTCGATGGCAACGGATTGCACGGACATGAGGGACTTGACAGTCGTTTCCTGGGACGGTGACGTCGGCCGGAGAAACGTCGGGAACGCCATCGTTCGCTTCTGGTAAGCGTTGAGTCCAAGCGAGACGCCGAGAGGCTGAAGCATGCTCTTGACCACACGCGACTCCAGCGCCGGAAGATGGCAGCCAAAGAAGTGAACGGATGGAAGCGACACGAATGCGTACAGAATATGCAATTGGCGCTCGATATCTGACGACCGGGCAATGTGGACGGACGGCGTGAGGAGGGGCGGCGGGGGCGTCGACGGGAGGCTGCTGTTGCTACGTTGTTGTTTCGACTGATCTAGAGGTGCAGATGAGAACAAAGTGGAGCGTTCATGTCGTGGCGGTCATTACAGGGCAGCGTGTTGGAGGGGTGGTGCGTCTCGATGTTAAACTCGCCTTCGCACTCGCACTGTAAGCTTTCCATGTTGACGTCATCCCCATCGAGGGGCTTTGTTCCGAACGTCGACGTCCGGTGTTTCTGGCAAAAGTAACACGCCCGGCGATACGACATGACGATGAATGCCGGGGATTTGGTCGCATGCACCACTTGTAGCATTGGTTTGCCGTGGATTGTGACGTGGGCAAAGATGTAGCCCTACGAAGGGGACAGCAATGTGGGGTCCCCGCTGCTTCGTCGAGCTAGATCGACGGCGACGCACCACGAGCCGATGGGGACAAGTCCGATGGGCCTTGGTTGACGTGCCAACCCACCCGTAGTGCCACCCGAACGTATTGTTTTGGTTGAAGTGGTAGATCGTTTCGTTGCGCGCCTGGATCACGAAGACGCATGTCACGAATCGTGTGTGGACGATGAACGAATTGCACCTCGTGGTAGTACCGATACACCGACGGAATCCACTCGCCTTTGAGGTTCTCCATCGAGCGCGTGTTGTTGACGACAAGTGTGGCGTCGATGACATCGTTTGCCTCGAGGATGCGATCCGTTGTGGGCTGGAAGTGGACGTAGGCGACGTCGTCGTTGGAAGCTCCAGTGACCTTCAAGTCGATCGACGTCGAGCAAAAGTTACCGAACGAGTGGACGGGACAGCAATGCGGGAAGCATCTGGACAAAGAACGATCATTCAGATCACGACCAGGAACTCGCCGCAGCGTTGTCCTGCGCATCACGACGTGTGCACGATGCATACCTAACGAGCTAAAACAGACGCATGTGAGTGCAAACGCGTCCGCGTCGGCCCGCTTGTCAACGTACCTTGAGACTGCCGGCGCGATGAGTCCTGCTCAACACAACGAGCGACGCGTGAATCGACGGAATCCACGCACCGTCGGGTGGTCCTTACCGGAGGTACTTGAGACTGAAGAGAGGCTCGGTGCACGTGCAGTCCTCCTTGGCGAACACGAGCGCCGGTGGCGACGTCACCGCCGTCGACTCTGTCATGGGCACGCACCAAAGAAAGATGCGACCGGAAACATTGTAGTATGGGATATTGTATCCCCGTTCATCAAATATACTGAAATCAAGACAATCTGGACAGGCCGAACGAAAAAGTGAATTTTCGCTGATTAGAGGTGCCTGCTCCGTTCCATGGAATGGCATCGTTCCCCCCCGAATTGGGGACTCGCCAAGCCGTTGCGGAAGCACGCCGTGGCCTACCGACTCGACAAACCATTGCGGAAGCATGCCGCGTCGTCCGACATGCAATCGGGACGTCGTCATCGTCATCGCAGTCGTCCCAACGGCCCGCTCGACGCGGATACACATGCCCACGGTGACGTCGGAACGGCGATGACGATAGGATGATCAAGCGCAGTGACTTGAGCGTGCGTCTGCACTGCCATCTCTGCATGTGCTGTCGCGGCACCCACTGAGACCGACCGCAGGTAACCTTGACCTTCCCGCATACGAGTGGCCCAACGTCACAGGGCTGAAATGATCCACTTGATTGGATGAAAGTGTGCAGAAAGGACCATATTAAACGTATATTATCCAATCAGTGCAAACGAACGTGATCGAAACGCGCCACGTCCAATATGTGGGATTCGATCGACGAACACGATGACGAGACATCTTAGAATCCCGTCGCGTGGGAACATACACTATTCTAAGATTTCATCTCTTGAAATGTATGTACATCACACTATTTCATGGCACTCCCATGTACACCTGCGGGAGCTGGACGCAATCCAGCGGTCTGCGACGACCGCCACCGCCATCATGGGAGTCCATGATGCCGTGAGAAAACCGTCGCGCTCCCCCCACGTCCTTATGTCGTTCAGAGATCATGCTGCGCAGCACGCGCGGTTGTGGGTGCGTTCGTGGATCTCAGTCCGACCACGCAGGCTGTTTTCGTTTTTTAGTGTCGTGGAGGAATTGCAGTCGGAGGGGGGACATGTCTTCCGATCTTATGATGGAGGGGCCACACGATGCGAGGCAAGGCAACCGCGGCGGTGCCACCCATCGGTCCGACGACTCGACGACTGAATAGCACCATGTATGCGGTCTCGATGCGGTTGGGCATGTGTTTGCACCCATCGGTCGAGGGGCGTTCAAATCAGAAGGTTGATTGACGTCGGGCGGCGATTGTCGCCCCTCCGGTGTGGACAGTCGAGACCGAATCACTTCTGCATCTCGTGGAGACTTACCAGGACGCATCAAGACGGCCGGCGACGATGGAGTTTGTGAAGGAAGGATGCCACTGCAGCCGTCCTGTGTTTGACCCCAAGTACCTCAGGTAACACGGTCGTCGTACCGCCGGTCGGATGCTCATCGTAATGTGTGTATGGAACGAACAGAACCCACCGCGCAGGCAGCGTCAAGGTACGTTCGACGACTGCGATGCAGCTCGAGAAGTCCTCATGTGCACGATGTGTATTTAGTTGATTAGGTACACCGCGACGCCGTCCATTCGCTCTCCGTCTTGAGCGCTGTGTCCGAGCAGGTGCTTTCCCCATTGCTGCCCGACCCACTCGTTTGCCAACTTTTGCACATCGTCGATCGCGTTGAATGTGGCCGTCCCGGACGGACTTGACCCTCGAACGGTTGCCTTCTTGAAGTTCCAATCCACCACCGATCCCGTGCACGAATGCGGCGATCGCATCCAGGGCATCACGGACATCCGAACTTCCGACAACGTCAAGGGTGAATGGATTCCCAGCGAGACTGCTCCAACCGTTAGCACGACACCCAACGGCACAAGAGTACACTTGTCATGACCAAAGTATGGCGGTAACTCGACCCCGATCTAGGTCGCGACATTTCGCTTCAATCACGTTCACAATGTTGGGTGGCACTACGGGTGGATGGGAACGTCGACCAAGGCGCATCGGACATCTCCTCATCACTTAGTGGTAAATCGGCTTGCTCTTCCACTTGAATGCATGGACCTTCCCGTCGACGTGCTAGGCATATGTGGTCCGACCCTTCGACCCCACGTCAGCCAAGTCGTGGGTTGTTGAAGGAGTGCTTACATCACCATCGTTCATCGTGATGAGCTACCGGCGGGCGTGCTACACGTGCCAGAAGCATCGAAATACGGACGACAAGACTGCCGTGTGCGAGTGCGAAGGCGAGTTCAACGTGAGTGCTGCTGCCCAGGCCAACCTACCGCACCAGACGCGTCCACTCCATCCAACCTCGCATGGTACGCCTTGGTCACGAACACCCTTGACCAGAATCCAGGGGATGCCATGTCTTGGACGATGGAGAATGATCTGCGAGCTGTCTTTCGCTTCATCCTGGACTCGCCCATCCTCGTTTTCAGCCGGCATTTCCAAGCGATTGAAAAGTGTTTCATTCAGCTGGTCCTTGGCCACCACCCACAGCCGAGGCCGTCGATCTTGGCCGGGTTGCTCGAGTCGTCCCATCCACACCATCCTCCATCAACAGGTACGGTCGACAGTCGTCCGCGATGTCCTCACGTTTGCCAGGAACGTGGCAAGACGTCGAATTCGATCGGTTGGTAGGAAGCGTCGTGGAATGCATTGTGAACGGCATGACAATGGCATTATCGAGCGACCATCGCAGCCATTTTGCGCATTATGCTACCTTCCTCTTCGACAAGCCTGCCTTGATCGACTCGTACAACCACTGGATGCAGTCGTGGGCAACGCGCCTGAATCACCGCCTCGCCTCGTCGTTTCAGACTTCCGTGGCGGAGATTGCCCGCGCCGTCGCGCAACGACTCACGCCATCGCGGCCCAACATGGACGGCGATGAGGAACAAGACTCGTTCACGCAGTCGATTGGGGTCGAGTACTTTGTCGCACAGCTCCGAGAAGTCTACTTGGTATGAACCACTTCCCACGTCGCATGCTTCGTTTCATGGCTTTGAAAGGGAAAAGCGAACGAGCTGCTCCAGAGCTCCAGTCGCAATTCGAACACAGGGCTCGATGGTCTTTGGAGCTTCGCCCGCATGACACAGCTCACGGTGGCCCGACAAGGCGCGGCGGACCTGTCGCTGGTTACCGTTCTGCGATGGATGAGTATGCTCTACGTGATGGATATCGGCGCCACGACGACTGAAACGGGGCCCCTGGCTTTGCATGTTCGGTCGCCAGTCCCGCTCTACGACACAATTTGGTCGACTTTCACACTGGACGGCTCGCCGCGAATCTTTCGGGCGTTTCCAAATGGAGAGAGCACGATGACCAATATGTCTGGTTACATCCATGGAGACTACGTCGCGTATGCATTGCCCTCGACCCAAGACACCACCGTGGAGGTTCAAATCTTCAGCTGGCCGCTGGATACGGCTCTGGCGTACGTGACCCGATGTCGAGTGACCGTCGTGCAAGGATCGCAGCAGCTGTCCCTCGACATTCAAGTGTGTCGATTCCCTGTGGAAGCGTCTCTGGACTGGTCCACCATGACTTGCATTGAGCGGTGCAGCCATCACCGCCGAGACCTGGAAGCCGTGGTCGTTCACATGGGCCTTCTCTACCTTCCGTTGCAGCGGCCATTGCCGTGACAACGAATATAGAAATCTAGACATAAAATGTGAGAAAATAGACGAGAAAATTTGACTGATGGGCAACTTTTGTCGAATTTTAAACCAATGAAGTCTCGTTATTTCAGGGAGACTTGCCAAAATCAAGCAACAAATGCAAGATCACAACAATTTTGAGCGAATCGAACCACATAAATCAGTTCTTTTCTACCAATCAAATATTCGAACCCGAGCCACCTGCATTCCAACATTTGCATGCACGTCTACTTCAGCGTGGATCAGCGCCTTCACGGCGTCGGCCCCGTCAAGTACGCATGGGATCCGACTGGAAACTTCCTCGCGTCCACGGGAAGCTCCCGCGTGGTGCATATCTTTGACCGACGCGGGGAGCTCGTGGATCAAATCGTACCGCCGTCACCATCGATCTGCACACATGTGGTATGGAGCAATTCTCGTGACCACAAAGTTCATGGTACGATCTTGACTTGTCCTTGTGATGCGTGGGGGTCACTCAACTTGACAACGCAGGGCTGACCTTGGCGGTGACACAAGCAAATTCGTCAGTGCTGGTGCTGTGGTCCGCGTCAACGCAGACGACGCAGCACGTGGACGTCGGCGTGAAGGAGATCACGCTGCTTCTGTGGAACAAGGGGAAGAGCACAACGATGGAAGGTACATTTGCCTCCATGCGATTCATTACTCATGCATGTCCAGGCGGCGAAGACAACAGCGTGCTACTGGCCATCGGGACGTCAAAGGGCCAAGTGGTGTTTTACGACATGGACGACCTGGCAGCGCGTGCGCCGTCGCAGCAGCGTGTGAACGTTCGAACAGCGCTGAGCAAACACAAGAAGAAGATTTTGTGTGGCGATTGGAACTCCCAGAACGAGTTCGCGTTTGGAAGCGAGGATCGGCAGGTGTCGATCTGTTACGGCAAGGACGGGTCCGTCGTGGACCAAGTCAAGATCAAGGCGGCACCCGTGGGCATCCAGTTTGGAGGGCGGCAGTCCAGTGGCGTGAAGCGCATCGTGAGCGTTAACATGGGCCGCGAGACCATCTTGCTCTACGACCTAAACGAGAAAGATAACGCGCTGGAGCTAGCATTCCAAGCGCGTTACGGCGACATTGTCGACTATCGGTGGTTCGGCGCCGGGTACATCATTGCGGGATTCTCCGTCGGGTATGTCGTTGTCATTTCCACGCGTAAGTTTTGTCGTAAACGTGGGGAGATGGACTTTGTTGCCTCGATGGGTAGACATGAACGAGATCGGGCAAGAGCAGTACTGCGCCAAGTTCCACGACAACTGGTTGCACGCAATCTGCTACAACGAAATCAACGGCATGGTCGCAACGTGCGGGGACGCATGCATCAAGGTCGTGCGCATGGTCGATTGGAAGGTACCTTGGTCCAGGATGCGCGCGCTTGACGCTTCGTGCAGGAAATTGCGGTGGAGAGTTTACATCGCGACGCGGCAGCATTTGACGACTTGAATTGGACAGCCGATGGTCGGTTGCTCAGCGTGAGCTGTCAAAACGGATGGCTGCACCATTTTAAACTCGTGCACATGGAACAGGCGTGCGCGGCCTTGGACCATGCGGCGCTACCGTCGACGGCCCACTTGGTTGCCGCCATCCTCACCCCGTTCACCCCCCCTATTCTCGTACTCACTGTGTTGTCCATGGTCGGGTGCATCACGTTCGCTATGTCGTGGTCGTTGGACGTCCCCATATGGCAGCTATTGCAAGCAATGGTCGGGTTGGGAGTTCGACTGTAATTCCAACAAGCACAAATGTGGAACTTGCTGCTTTCAATGACGAGTATTGAGCGAGCGTCAATGGTACATAGCGCATCGAGAGACCCCATCCACAGCGTTTTCATGCCCGCATCGTCCTCGCTTCCATCCATTCGTCATGATCGCGAGCCGTGGAATTGCAAAATCCGCGAAATCCGTGGACTTTTGACGCCGGCATCCGGATACAAGACACCGTACATCGTACATTCATACAAAAGCTCCGATAGAGAGTACAACCTACATTGCCCCGCTTCAACGTCGTCAACGGATAATTATCCGGATTTCTGGATCGACATGCAATATCCAGGACAGTATCAAACTTGCGGCGGCGGAAGACATGGTGCACAAGAACACGCAGCAATCGTACGGCACGACGAAGCCCGGCGTGGCGCTCATGCATCAAGCTCAACAAGCACACCGCTCCAACGATGCAGAAGCGTCCCGTGTCATCCACATCGCCAAGAACGGCCACGCATCGGAAGCACACTTGGACAATGGAGGGCATATCAAGAGTGCGGTGTACGGGGGACTCGACGGCATCATCACGACGTTTGCGACCGTGACGTCCGTCGCAGGGTCTGGCCTCCCGCACTCGGTGATCCTCATCCTCGGGCTAGCGCACTTGGTCGCGGATGGCCTGTCCATGGGGATGGGCGATGTCTTGTCCAGCCAAGCCGAGATCGACCTCGTCCACCACGAACGCGCCCGCGAAATGTGGGAATTTGACAACTTTCCTGAAGGTATTTCCGTTCGAGGTCTTGATCGACACTGCCATCGTGGACAGGGGAAATGGACGAAATGGTCGAGCTGTACGAGAAGAAGGGGATTCCGACGCACGACGCCAAGCTGGTCGTCCACACGCTGGCCAAGTACAAGGAAGCATTCGTTGACATTATGATGGTGGAAGAGCTCAACCTGATGCCGGTCGACGAGGACGAGAACCCGCTCATCGGAGGTGCGTGTGTCTGCAGTCGATCCGCGTCAACCTACGTCGTCCTGTGTAGGTCTAGTAACGTTTGGATCGTTCATGTTGTTTGGCGCGGTGCCGCTGCTGTCGTACTTGGTCAACCTCGTGCCAGGCATCCAATTTTCTGGCGAGCAGGCACTGTGGGGATCGTGCGTCCTCACGGCCCTCACGCTCTTTCTCTTGGGCGCTGTCAAGGTGATGACTCTCCATGGGCTGCTGCTGCTGCTGATACTGTTTTGTACAGGGTCAATATGTTGGCCAAAAGTGGTTTGTGTCGGGGTTGTACATGGCGGTGAACGGGACGGTCGCGGCCGGCACGGG